CTCTGCGCAGGTGGTGACGCGTCGCTGGTTGTAAGAGCATCCCCAGCAGTCGTTTCCATTTTATTGCTAAGAGCATCCCCAGCAGTCGTTTTTATACGTAAATATAGCAATTTTTAAAAACGGACCTCCCCAAGAGGCGTTTTTATTTCTAAAAATTTGTAAAAATTCGCTGGTCGTTTTTATCGCGGTCCACTTTAAAAACATCGGCCAGCATTTCCAATCGTTTTTAAGGCCCATGCGACGGGCAATGGGCGAATTCTAGGCATGAAAACGCCGTCAGAACTCAGCTCGGAGTTTTCTACAGTTGAGGACAGCCATGCCTGCAACACAGAGACCCCAGATGTAGCAGGAACCTCTCTGATGGCACTCGCATTGAGCGATCTGGGCAAATCATATCTGCACACAAGGCGTCGCTGCGCCCGCTGACATGCGGTTAGCAATAAAATGGAAACGACTGCTGGGGATGCTCTAACGGGTGGCTTTGGAAACGACCAGTTGGCAATGGAAACGGAGCTCCCCAACAGCGTTGCCAAACGTTGCCAATCAACAGCTGACAGATCAACATTCCGACGATAGCGAGGCGCTCCACTGGTTCCAAGGTGACGCCGTCGACGCCAGCACCGACTAGGCCCTACTCGCGGCCACGCTTAGCGAGAGTCATCAAGGCAGTTCATGACTGTGCGACGGAGCTAACCGCATGTCAGCGGGCGCAGCGACGCCTTGTGTGCAGATATGATTTGCCCAGATCGCTCAATGCGAGTGCCATCAGAGAGGTTCCTGCTACATCTGGGGTCTCTGTGTTGCAGGCATGGCTGTCCTCAACTGTAGAAAACTCCGAGCTGAGTTCTGACGGCGTTTTCATGCCTAGAATTCGCCCATTGCCCGTCGCATGGGCCTTAAAAACGATTGGAAATGCTGGCCGATGTTTTTAAAGTGGACCGCGATAAAAACGACCAGCGAATTTTTACAAATTTTTAGAAATAAAAACGCCTCTTGGGGAGGTCCGTTTTTAAAAATTGCTATATTTACGTATAAAAACGACTGCTGGGGATGCTCTAAGATACGCGGGCGCACCAAATGCTAAATCCAACTGAGGATTCCCTCGCGCTTACCCATCAGTTGCTTGCAGTTCTATCAAGAACTCCAACCCACCAGAGCCAATACCAGATTCTGGTTGTGCACGAGCCCACATTAAAGTCGCTGGCAAGTGCAACACACAGGCTATCACGCTGAGCAACCGCCATTCGTTGGACCGGCGATGACGATCCGGTGCAGGTGCGTGGATGTGCAGTGGTCGTTGCTGCTCGTGTCGAGGCTCTCGACCACGGGCTTGATGCTGCGGGAGCAACAAACACCCTGCGTAGCGGGCGGTGCGTTGGTTGGGATGCGCGAAGAACGTGTTGTATCGTTGCGTGGCCCGTGGTCCCATGGACGCCGGCGCCAGCCTGTCACACAGAGTAGCCCGCCAGCACTTCATGGCTGCATGCTAGGAATCCACGGTCAACTAGGCAGCACATCGCGCCACGTCATGTTTCAGAATGGCTCGGCGATCCAGTTGCAGCGAGCGTTCATTTGCAGAAGCTCGTTGAAACACCCGGCGCCAAAGTCGATGATGCGATGATGCGGCGAGTGAGGACGCCAACTGAGCATCGGCCGAAAGTAACGACGTCCGACTAGAGCTCTGTGCGCGCGAGCTGTCATTTGCCAAGCTATACAAGTCCAAATCAACTACGAGGCTGCTCGTAATCGGCGAGCTGCGGTCCGGCGCCAGCATCCGATATCGCCGGCTCCGAAGTTGACAAGCGTGAGAGCTCAAGAGCGAAGGGTTGAGAGCGCCAGCAGACAAACCACAGCCGCCGCAGGTTGCGCCGCTTTCCAGCCAGCACTGACGTACTCGTTCGTCGGGCTGTCATCGCTACGTGCCCGAGCTGTCGTAGGTGGCGTGTCAACGGCCTATCAGACCGAGTAGACCTGGCAGACGCTATACATTGTATTCGTGCTAAAAAGACATAAAATAATGGATTGGGCGTCGTTAGGATGCCTCTACTACTTGCTTACTGGTACAGCGGGTCCGGCGACTGGGTCGGGAGGAGGTTGTAGCGCTTCTTGGTCGTGATGCGCTCCTTCGAGAACTTGTCGTCGGGCGAGAAGCGCGCCGGGTGGGCCGAGTGCGTCGGCTTGCCGCTCGGGTCCTCCTTCTTGAGCGTGTACACGCGCTTGCCGTCGGCGCCGAGGTGGTACATGAGGTGCATCTTGTCGGCCAAAGTAAAAACTCGAAAATGAATATCGATCCACGGACCAGTGATTAATCGGTGGCCGCACAAGGGCCAATCAGCGCCCGCGACCAATGTTGTCTCGCTTTTTGTATACCATACACCAACCAAGTCCCAAACCTGCTGCCATCACTCCAGCGCAACTACGATCTTAGTAACTCGATCCATGGCATGGAGTATATTGCTCTAGTTCAAGTCCTTTATGGGACTGGGTCCTGCACTCTAGACTGGACGGCAGGATGCTTACCGGTGTCTCAAAATCTGGTCAACCGACTAGGGTTCGGGGTTGTCAACTACGCCGAGATGGCTGTCGCCTTGTGCGCCAGAAGGAGCTGGACGATCTCCACAAGGCCGCGCGACGACGCGACCGTGAGCGCCGAGACGTTAGGCTACACAGCACCCATCTTACTTTCAATATAACGATCCAACGAATCCGTCGTACCTGCATCTCGAGGTTGACGTCTGTTTCGCCATGCGCCAGGAGGTGCTTGACAAGATCGACATTTTCCATATTGACAGCCGCGATCAAGGCCGTCGCACCGTCCTACATCCGCCGCATAAGCCATAATCTTAGAGCTCGATCTCATTACCTCGCGCTTGGCGTTGACGTCGACGCGGGCGTCGGCGAGCAGCTGCGTCACGATCGCGTCCTTCTCGGCAAAGCACGCGACCATGAGAGGCGTCGTGCCATCCTACAGTCGCCACTGCTTATGGTGTCATGAGGTAGAGACGGCGTACGAAGGACGGTTGGTTGGGTTCGACCCGCGCGTGTGCCAGTACTTTCTCTACGATCGTCGCGTTGCCTTCGTGCGCCGCCATGTGCAAGAGCGCATGCCCCGACTCCTACGCAGAACCAATAAGCATACGAAATACGATGAGAATGATCGTACGTCGAGGGCCATGTTGACGTCCCAGTGGTCGTGGTCCAGGAAGAGCTGCACAATGTCGTGAAAACCCTTGGTCATGGCGACTTCAACCGCGACGCCAGTCTATATACCATCCGTATATGCATTCGATGGACATATTGGCGTACGCTGACGTCGATGGACGGGTGCTTGAGGAGGCGGTCGACGACAAAGTACTGGCCACGCGCCGCCGCAAGGATGAGCGCGGTGACGCCCGCGGTCATCTGCGTGTTATATTGGGTCAAATGCAGAGCAGAGCGAGTACTACCTCGACGTTGACGTCGATCTTGGGGTGCTTGAGGAGGAACTCCATCACATTCGCATGCTCCTGCAAGCACGCGTAGAGCAGGACCGAGTAGCCGTCCTAGACACGTGTGACGTCCGCTTTCGAAGGAGGTTTCTGTACCTTGTCCTTGGCGTTCACGTTGACCTTGGGATGCACGAGGAGCAGCTCCGTCATGGCCAAATCGCCTTCATGGCATGCCAGGTGCAGCGCCGTCGACCCCAGCTACATGCATTTGTCTAGACGGTAGCAACAGTGAGACGCACATACTTGGTTCTCGAGGTTGATGTCCAGTGCAGGGTGCTGGAGCAGCGACGTCACCGTGTCGTAGTGGCCGCACTTGACGGCCATCATGAGCGGCGTGATGCCTTCCTACGCACATGCTCGCACTACTCGATACGGTCAGGTAGAACCTTGGTCGCGAGGTTGACGTCGATATCGGGGTGCTTGAGAAGGACCTGCACGATGCGGTTGTCAGCGTTGATGCACGCCTTGACGAGCGGCGTCGTCGAATCCTATGGCCTCCGGTCAACCCTCGCCTGTAGATTTGCAGTCGCACCTCGCTGCGGCAGTTGATGTCGATGCCGGGCTTGTGCACGAGCGACGCAACGACGTCCTCGTAGCCGTTGGCGCATGCGTCAAGGAGCGTCGCGTTGCTCTTCTACACCAGCGTGAGCGAGCGTCCTGGATGCTTGGCCTACCGCGCTGGCGGGGTTGAGCAGCTTCAAGAGCAAGTCATCCGACGCGACGGGCGGCTTCTTCTCCGACGAGAACATGCGAGGCAGGACGGCGCGGGACGAGGCCGGAAGCGCCGAGCGCTGCAGCGGACGCAAGGCTGCGCGGAACCGATGGAGACGATTGAGGGCCATGAGGATGATGCCAATTGGCCCACATGGTCCTACAACTACGAACTTCGGTCAGTAGAGTGACAAATATTTCGGCATACAAAATACGTTCAAGTGACTCGTAAATCGCATTCCGAAGAAAATGACGTGGCGCTGCCTGGTACCGTTGCCCGTGGCGGCGTCGAGTGGGTGCCTGATCAAGGAGCTGCAAGTCCGTCGAGACGGGCTAAAGTAAATCGTACGTTTCCAGCCACCTAGCAAGGGAAGCTAGCGATTAGCGGCCGTATCCCTCGTGGCGTGGCTCGGTGTTGGCCCTCAAATGACCCAGTCGACAAGTGACACACCATCTTAACTATGTAGTCCCTCCGTCCATCCCATGCGTCCATCCCCTCATTTACACACTGTTTAGCTCCAGATAGGTTGTGGCAAGTCGCAATTAGATTCCTGAACTGCAACGAGACCGTCGTACACACACCGCATATCGTTCTTACTCTCGGTACCGGATCATGGCGATCGTCTTCTTGATCTGCGTTTGCAGGTTGGTCAAGATCTGGCGCTCGCGATCAATTGCGTCTACAGATTTGTGGTCAATATGCATCGCACACAATATCGTACCGGCGTCGTCGGCCAAGCCAATGACCTGCACGGCGTGGGCGAGGTACATGACGCGGTCGGCAGAGCTCTTGAGTTTCAAGAGGTTGTCCGTCGTGATCTTTTGGTGGGCGCATTTGCGGTTGTGGGCCTTGAACGTCGACTCGACCTCCGCGGCGACCTTGTCCCAGTTGGGACGAGGCGTGTGCGCCTGCTTGTAGTCGAGGACGCGGTTTTGGATTTCATCGGTCGACGCGCGCACGGCCGCGAGTTGTTCTTCCAGCTCGGCCCGCGCAGCCTGTCGAAGCGCCATCGAGACGAGATATGACATACACGAGGAGGTACCCGCACGGAGAAGATTTCTGTCGTAAGCTCATGCACTTGCGGACCAGTCGTCGCGATTGTCTCTTGCAGATGGGCGATTTGCTGCTTGAGCTCTGCCATCGTCGCCTCGGGGCTCCGCAGTTTCCGCTTCGAATCCCCCTTCTTGAACGACTATCCAGCGTGTAAACCTCGAGATACAAAAGGAGCACGCACTTGACGCAGAACGACTTCGTTGTCCTTGAGCTTCTTGCTGTGGAGGCGGTACATGAGGTCTTCGTGCCGCATGCGCTGGCTCTCTTCTTTGGCAAGGCGCTCGTGCTGGAGCAGCGTGTCCTGCTTTTCGTCGATCGTCTTGGTGAGCGCTGTACCAAGTAGTGGTCATTGTAGCCTTTCCAAAATCTGGACTCATACCAGTGCTCTGGCGCGTGCGCAGATCCAGTCGGCGCTGGAAGAGCGCAATCTCTTTTTTGCACGCCTTCTCGTTAAAGGATGCCGTCTGCGCCGAGAGCACGGCCTCGAGCGACGCGATCTCGTCGTCCAACGCAGCGTTGTGTGCGATCTTCTCTTGCAGCTCGGCTTTGGCGCGACCGAGCGCGGCCGTTTGGTCGGACGTATACTGCTGCGTCCCGCCGTAGAGCGCCTTGTACGGTACGGATGTACTGTCGCGGTTGCTCTCGGGCGGTCGGAACGCAAACGACTCGATCGTCTTGACAAGCTCCGGGATGACGACTGACGACGGGAAGAGGTGCAAAAGAAACTCGAGCGACGTCTCGGGCGTCCAGTCGGCGGCTTCGTTGCTCTGGATGATGTCGCTGAGCAGCGACGACCGGAACCCTCGCTTCGACGTCGCCATCCGTCTCTATTTTTGGCGGGAAATACACTTGGCGGACGATAGGTCTCGACGGCCCTAATGCTTATGAACCGAATAACTTAATTCACATAGTTGTACAATATTGTACGTTGCATTTCTTAAAGCTATCGAGATTGTCGAGCTGGCTTGTGGCGCGGGCGACCGCTACTACTTGCCAAGGTCTCGGTTGCATCCGTACGGATACAACTGATGTATCCGGATGTCCCAGTTTCAATTTTCAATTTGGCATGGCCCCAGGCAAGCCGGCGGCGAAGCGCGGCCCGAAGCGCAAGGTCGATCCGGCCGAGGCGCCAGCTCCGAAGAAGGCGCGGGCGCCCGCGCGCAAGGGCCCGTCCAAGCGCGCAGCTCTGAACCAGTGCGTCCAGGACAACCTCGGCGAGATCCAGCAGATCCAGGACGAACTCGAGCAGTTGGCCAAGGAGCGCGACGCCCTCTGCGGTGGCGAGGCCGTCGTGCTGCGTCTTGTCTCCTAAGAAGCCCTAAATAATCGGTCTTTCTTTATCGCAAACTTAGGCGCGCAGAATGTGGTCGCAGACAGCGATGCGCTTCTGGTACTTGGCGCGGGCGCCCATGTCCAAGCAGGCGCGGAAGAGCACATGCGCCTTGTCGACCGCGTTGAGGTGGAAGCAGACAAGCCCGAGGAGGTACAAGACCCGGATGTCCTGGCTTTGGACAAGCTCTTTGAGGAGCACCGCTGCGTCCTCGTACGCCTGGATCGCGTACAGCCAGCGCGCCATGTTGAGGTGCAAGTTGAAGACGCCGGCGTCCTTGAGCAAGTAGGCGTTCTCAAAGCACTTGAGACCGACCTCAGCCTAGACGCGAGCATGAGACTACCTCATCCTGGAGCCTTATAACGCACCACAGACGCCCGCAGCGCCGGCTGGTCGGGGACCTGGCGCACCATGGGCCACATGAAGACGGCAAAGCAGTCGTAGTCCCATTTTGAGAGCGCGAGGAGCGCCATTTGCGGCTCGAGCGCAGTGAACGCATCGGGCGTGTCCTGGATCGTGCCCTAGATCGTAGTGAGCATCTTATAGCGAGGTCGAGGTCGAGACCATGATGAGGTCGCAGTCGTTGGCGCCAAACGCTTGCAACTCGGCTTCAAATACCAGCGGCGACGACTACACCGGTGCACGTGTCAAACTCAAAACTACCTCAAAACGAGCTCAAAGAGCTCAAAACGTGCTCAAACATACCAGATTGGCCGCGTCGTCGGGAAAGTGCGTCGCGTAACACACTTGGAACGTGTCGGCAAACACTTGCAAAGTCGACTGGAACGTGAGTTTCGGGAAGCTCTGGCTCAAAAAGGCCTCGAGGAGGCTGAAGTCGACCGGCAGACAAAAGCAGTCGGCGTGCGGCGAGAGCTCGGGCACGTGGTGGAACGTATCTGAGCTGTGGACCGTCGCGTCGCCAAAGAGGAGCCCGAACGGCGCCGTCGGCGGCAAAATCGCGCTCAAGAAGCGGTACGCCTGCACGGGAAAGAGGAGGAGCGACACGCGCAGGCCCCGGGGCACGGACAGCAGCGTCGCATTCAGCGCCGCGCTCTCGTAGTGCGTCGACGGGTCTGGAAGCGGCAGCGGCGACGGCGCAAAGCTGTCGCCGGCCTCGTCCGTGAGCACCGGCGAGAGCCCCGACGGTTCGACCTGCAGCATTCATAACATAAACCGATAAAAGAACTGAACGGTACCAAGAAGACGTCGGTTGGGAGCGAGTCGAGAAAGTAGTTGCCAATGAAAAAGATCGGCGTCGTCGGCGCGAGCTGCAGCGGCGCGTTGGCAACTCGCAGAAAGAGCGGTCCTCTCCGCGCAATCTACCACGCGGTTAGTCCACGTCGTCCGAATCCAGGACACATTGTACAATGTCTTCGACGTCGAGGACCGCAAACTCGAGCTGGCCGGGAAACGCCGCGACGAGACTCTGAAAATCGACGTGGGCAATGCGCGAGTCGAGGACGTCGACGCTGAGGTCCGTGAGGATGATGCACGGGCGAATCACCGTGTGCAGCTCCAAGCCCGCGAGCAGGCCGAGGAGGTGGCGCGCGAACGCGAGGCCAAACTTGCAGCAGCCGCTGCCGCCTTCGATGACGTACGCGTTGATGGGCGAGGTCGCATCGAGCTTGCCTTTGCCGTGGCAGTCGAGGAAGAACTGCAGCACGACCCCTACACGACGCTAAGAAACGAGTGCACAGCGGGGGCGTACGGGCGTAAGCTTCAGCGATGAACATGCTGCTCGAGACGCCGTACGGCACAATGTTCGAGCTCCACGCGCCCATGCCGTGGGCTTTGTAAAAGTCCTTTTGTGCCGACCACACGGGCGACGCGGCGACGGTCGTGAGCCCGTCGGTCGACGCCGGCGCGTCACCAAAGAGCAGTGACGGCTGCAGCGGCGCGGCGTCGTTGGCGCCAAAGAGGCTCTCGTTCTGCAAGAAGGTCGCAATCGCGTCTGGCACATGCGGCCACTTGTACACACGGAGGAGCTCTTTCCGCACGTTTTGCCGCAGCCGCGCCGTGTTGAGGTTCAGAATCTTCTTCTCCAAGAGCGGAAGGTTCTGGAGAAGGATCGACGGCGAGTAGTGCAAGAGCCGCAAGACGACCAGCGCGAGCTGGAGCGGCACCGAGACGAGACCGCGGCCGTGGCGCACGAGGTCCTGCGCCACGAGGCTGCCGTAGACGTTAACGGGGTCTTCCAGCGGCCGAAAGAGCCAGTGGTGCACGGACGGCGAGCACGCAAAGGACGCATACACGTACGTGTGCGTGAGCCGAAGGTACGCCGTCGTCGTCGGCGGCGCCGGAAAGTCCAGCGGCGCGTTCGAGACCGTGTCGATCCAAACAAAGGCGATCTGGTGGAGCGCGATGAGCTGGACGAGGCGCGGAAGGTCGAGGCCGTGGCTGTGCACGACGACGAGGACGAGCGGGCCGGCGTCGTCGAGGACGGAGCTGAGCTCGTCCACGGAGGTCAGGACGTGGTCCATCGGATGCGACGGCGCCATGGGCTCATGCAGGAGGAGGAAGCCGCGGTGCGTCGGGTGCAGCGCGTGCACGCGGGCAAGGACGTCCTGCGCCAAGACTTCGGTGCCCCACATTCGGTTGTGCAGTAATTGAGTCGGAAGCAATTTTAGCCAATCCGACGCCGCATACGTGGCAGGCCACGCGACCGACATGCGCAAGAGCGCCACTCACGCTGCAGCGCTGCGACGCCGGGCACACATGCCTCCACCAATTTGCAAGCAGCCAGAACAAGCTCGACCCATTAGCCGCAGAGAGCGCAGCACTACCTCTGTGCTTTTCAGACCACTCAGTCCAGTCAGGATACTCGACGCAGTGTTCGGTGAGTCTTGCACAAGGCATTGTCCGGAGACTCTAGACTCGCACGAGAGCTGCGAGGGCAGAAGCGCCCGTGACATCTGACTTGTTGCTACCGTTGCGCGCCATGGGTGTGACTACAGCTTTGCTTCTCGCACGCGGCTGCTATGCCGGCTTCCCTTATGTGCTGCTACATGTACTCGCGCAGTCGATACAGTTGTGCTTGGCTTGCCACGCTCGATTCAAGCTAGCTGTGAAGAGGCCGCTTGCTCCCGCACGTGGCCACGCACCTGCGATGCGCCTGTCACGTGCATACTGTGCCGTCGCTTCGCGCCTTGAGCACCGTCCAGTCGGCAGCATGCACCAGGCAGCATATTGGATGCAGTCGATAAAGTAGTCTTTCATATGCAGGTGTATGTTATTCGTTGCGGAAGCTAAAACTTGACCACCTTCTTCTTTGCTTGGGTGGCCGCGGGCTTGGGGGCCTCGGGCTCTTCGGGCGCTTCGTCCTCCATGAAGTCGCCGCTCTTGTCGGACGGACCGCTGCCCTGGGCCACTACACATGATTGTCCAATAAGATCGGATATCGCATAAATCGGGTCGACGCACCTTCGTCATCGTCGTCCGCAAACGTCTTTTTGGTGTTTTGGGGCTTTTTCTCCTTGCCGTCCTCGGGACAGTCCTTGGCGAGATGCATCTTGCTGCTGCAGACCTTGCAGCAGCCGCCGCGCGGGTAGATGCCGTTCTCAGACATGGGGCAGCGCGAGCTCAAGTGGCCCGTGGCGCCGCACACAAAGCAGGTGGCGAACGAGGTGCCGTCGCCGACCTTGGGCTTGGGGCACTTCCAGAGGCTGTGGCCGTTCTCGCCGCAGTTGAAGCAGAGGTCGCTCGCGGGCTGCGTGTTGCTGTTGTAGCCATTGCGCTTGGGGCACGAGTGGATGTCGTGGCCCTTCCGGCGGCAGTGGAAGCAGCTCTTCGTGCTCATAGTCTACATTTCCACGTGAGCTGCTGAAGCCCTCGCTCGGATCGAAAGTACCTGGTCGCAGTCTTGCTTGCGGTGGTTGGGGTCGCCGCAGAGCCAGCACCCGTTCTCGTTGTCCTTGTTCTTGATCGCCATGGCCTTGTCGCGCCGGCGCTGCTTCATGTCCTCGCGCTTGTTCATGCGGCGCTCCTTCTCGGTCGCGGCCGCAGCCTTCTTCTTGGCGCGGGCCGCCCGGCGGCGCTCGGTCTTGCTCAGGGCCACGTCCTCGGTCATCACGGTAAGATTTTGATTGGTTTCAACGTCAACTTCAAAGCGCCGTATTGTTTTCGGCATCGATCGCCAGAACTTTGCGGCATGCGCCGAAAATAAGATCGGCCTCTGTCTACTGCGCTGGAACGTGAGAGCTTTCGTGCCCACGGAAATGGCGCCCGAGAAAACGCTTGGGTGGAGGCCGTTGCCATGTATGGTTGCCGGGTCGAAGCTCCCGTCTCCGGTAATCGGGTCCGTGCCTAGTGAGAATCTCGACCAAATCCTTGCCGGATCACTGGCATTCTATCATAAACTTTAAAAATGACTCGTAATTAGTATTAATAGCCGTGCAAGTATTTAAAATATAATGGGTCGACGTTGAATTCGGCATTCACACCCCAGGTAAATTCGGCATTGCGGCGTGGATCGAGCGGAAGGTCGAGCAGGATGGATCAAATGAAGGCCATGATGGCGAAGCTCAAGCGCCAGCGCGAGGAAGAGAAGATGACCGCGCTCAAGGTCAGCGGCGAACCGGCGGCCAAGAAGAAGTACATGCGCCGGGGCGAGATCGAAGCGGCCCTTGAAGAGGAAGAGCGCCGGGCGCGCGAAGCCGTCGAGGCCGAGGCCGCCAAGAAGCGCGAGGCTGAAGAGCACACTGCGGCGCAGGCTGCTGCGCAAGCGTCGACAAACGAGACAAAGGCAGCCCCGATGCAAGAGCGCGCTACCGAGACGAGCGCAGATGACGGGCAGCTCCATTTCACGCTGGCCGAGACGAAGAAGCGCCTGCGCCAGCTGGGCCATCCGATCACACTCTTCGGCGAGACCGACGAGGCGCGCGCTCGGCGCTTGGAGGCGCTCATCCACTCGAACGAAGGCGGCGAGATGGACCTCAACCAGGCCGGCTACATTGACGCGCAGGAGGCCGACGAAGACAAGGAAGACGACGAGTACGACCACGACGGCGACGCGAATAAGGACCACGAGAGCGAGTCAGACGAACGCAAGATCTACCGCTTCTTCAAGGAGATGCTCGGTCGCTGGGAGGAGGCGCTGGCCGCGCGGCCGGAGAGCGTCAAGCGGTCGGCGCAAGGCAAGATCGCGACGCGCACCATGAAGCAGTGCAAGGACTACATTCGGCCGCTCTTCCGGCTCTGCAAGAGCAACACGGTGCCCGACGACATCCTCAAGAACCTCGTCGACATCGTCGGCTTTTGCAAGGCCGGCGAGTTTGTCTCGGCCAACGACTCGTACATCAAGCTCGCGATTGGCAACGCCGCGTGGCCCATCGGTGTCACGATGGTGGGCATCCACGAGCGCACAGGCCGCGAGAAGATCAACTCCAACAAGCAAGCGCACGTCATGAACAACGAGCTACAGCGCAAGTACCTCACGTCTGTCAAGCGGCTCATTACTTTTGCCCAGTCAATCACGGACGTCCTCCCGTCCAAGAAGGTGTGCTAACCATTATTCTTTACTAACTATAAACACAAATCCATTGTCGTAACGACCTATCTATGATCACGTCCGAGAAGCGGTTCGGGCCCGCGTTTTGCACCGGCAAGGAAGAGGAGCCGGTGGCGACGTATACCCCCTGGCCCTTACCCCCTCAATTCTCTTCTAGAGTCCGTTTGCCTACACCCTCCGCAGCAGCTTTGAGCGCCAAAGCCGGTCGAATGGGACGTTCAGCCTCGCGCCGCGGGAGTCGCCCGCGCCCAAGCCCGCGTTCGAGTCCGAGCACGAGCCGGCGCTGCCCGGCGCGTTCCCGAACGTCGTGACAACCGACCAGCTCAAGGCGATCGAGGCCGAGCGCGTCGCGACGTACAACAAATTTAAGACGCGGCAGCCGCGGACCAAACGCGGGGACGTCCGCGTCGGCGCTGGCCCGGGCTCGTACAACGTGGAGCGCGACGTACCTCCGATATGGATGCAAGCATGTGTGCCATAATTGCATTAGACCAACCCGACACGGCTCTCGGCGCCGTGTAGCTTCCCAAAGGAGAAGCGCCTTGATGTGCTCGACTTTGCCGCCCAGCGCGGCTGGGTGAGCGATAGCCCTGGGCCAAAGTACCTCCCGACGAACGAGTTCGTGGCGTCGTCGGTCTATGATCAAAAGCACGACCGCCATGCGCTGCTCACTGTAGCTACATACGTTCAGAGGCATTCGTGATCATGTGCAAGTAGAAAGCGCGAGCGAGGAATGATGCGCTCTTGCGGGAAGCGTCGGCGTCGCTCACGCCCTCGTACAAGGCGTTCGAGCGCTCGTTCGAGGTCGTTCTACGTTGTCCACATCTCGATATCGATGCTATAGTAGCGCTTGAACCACTCGCTCTCGGCGTCAGCGATCAATTCGCCCCACCGCGGCCGCGTGCCCAGTCCCGTGGACATCAAGCAGTCGGGTCCGGGGTCCTACGATGCGACGGGCACCGACTTTACCGTCAAGCGCAGCAAGCGGGGCACCTTTGGCACGGCCAAGAACCTCGACCTCCTCTCGTCGCTCATTGCGGCCGGCCACGGTACTAAAGCATGATGGGGTACATTTGAGGCTAAATTGGCCGTAGCGGCGTCGACGCCGACGGGGCCGGGCGACTACAACCCGCAGAAGCTCGTCTCGTTCCAGTCGAAAACGTTCAATGCGCGGGGCGGCTACGTGCCGCAGCGGACCGACGTCCAGACCAACCTCGAGTACGACGACTGTATAGACGCCTAACGTCACGTGCTTGTAGCTCGCTGAAGATGAAGGTGCCACCCAACACGAGCCTCCTCCTTACCGGCCATCCCTCCAAAGACGGTCACGCGCCGGCGAAAGAGCTCTGGAAAGCCATGATGAAGTCGCCCGACCCGCGCGTCCTCGGCTACGACACGTGGGCCATCGTGAGAATGCACCTTTGACACACGATGTATATCCTAGCGGTGCGCCCAGCATGCCAAGTACCAAGGCCAAGTCGCCCAAGCCATCAGTCAAGACCGACGCACAACCGGAGCCCGAGACCGCTGACGACCCGCCCGCGGAAGCACCGAGCTCATTAACACTGTAAACAACACGCTTGGCCGACGTACATATGGCTCGCGGCTTGGCGACGATCGGGCTTGCACCCTGCACTGCCCTGCACGGAGGCGAGCGCGGCTTCGTGGCCCCGGCTTGCTCCATTTGGCTTTGCTCCGCGGATCTCTGTTCATGTGTTGGCGCGATGCCATTGGCTGGAACACTTAACACGAAACGCACTTAGAATAAATTCGGAATTTGTATAGGCATTCGATAAAGTACGTCGTATCTTGGCCGCTGCATGACTTAACGCGAACGTCCGGTGTTGGCAGCCCATTTGGAGACTGACTGCAGCAAGCATGGCCGAGCCGCAGTCACCGACGCTGGCGAGTATGACGATCTCGAGCGTCATGCGGGACATCAAGGAGAAGTTCAAGAACGAGGATGATGAGGCCAACGTCTCGCCCTTCCAGAACCTCGACAAGGCCACGGTGCTGCACGAGACCAAGATCTTCTCGGACGCTGCCATGGTCATGAAGCAGCCGCGCAAGTGCTGCCAGCTCATCACGAAGCTTCTGCACATTCTGACGCAAGGCGAGCCGTTCACGAGCACGGAGAGCACGGACGTCTTCTTCAAGGTCACCAAGCTCTTCCAGGGCAAGGACGCGAACCTCCGCCGCATGATGTACCTCTTCATCAAGGAGGTTGCGGACGCGACGGCGGCCGACGAAGTCATCATCGTCACGCAGAGTCTCACGAAGGACATGAACTGCGACACGGACCTCTATCGCGCGAACGCGATCCGCGTCCTGTGCCGCATCATCGACACGTCGATGCTCGCCGCCATCGAGCGCTACATCAAGCAGGCGATCGTCGACAAGAACCCGCTCGTGTCGTCGTCCGCTCTCGTCTCGGGCATGCACCTCATGCGCAACTCGCCGGACGTTGTGCGCCGCTGGGTCAACGAAGTGCAGGAGGCGCTCAACTCGCCCGTCGACATGGTGCAATACCACGCCCTTGCGCTGCTCTACCAGGTAACACCTTACCAGCGCCTGTGCTACATCTAACGCGACCATGATGTTAGATCCGCCAACACGACAAGCTCGCCGTCTCGAAGCTCATCACGCAGCTCCAGAAGACGAGCCTCAAGTCCAACTTGGCGTGCTGCCTCCTCATCCGGTACTCGGCCTCGCTCCTCGCGGACGACCTCACGGGCCCGAACGCGCGTCCGCTGTACCAGTTTCTCGAAAAGATGCTGCGGCACAAGAGCGAGGTAGACCCATGCATGCTACATGTATGCTGCAACACAACATGACGTAGATGGTGCTCTACGAAGCTGCCCGCGCCATCTGCGTGCTGCCGCTCGATGCGCGCGACCTCCAACCCGCCATCACGGTACGCATGTCGTCGCTTGCCAGGGCCGCGCCTGAGGAGATGCGTTTCTGTAGGTGCTGCAAATCCTGCTGGGGTCGGTGCGCCCGACGCTGCGCTTTGCGGCCGTGCGGACGCTGAGCCTTGTCGCGCTCACGCAGCCGATGCTCGTGACCAAGTGCAACGAAGACCTCGAGACTCTCATCGGCGACTCGAACCGGTCGATCGCGACGCTGGCCATCACGACGCTTCTCAAGACGGGCGCCGAGTCGAGCGTCGATCGGCTCATGAAGCAGATCAACGCGTTCATGAGCGAGATCGCCGACGAGTTCAAGATCGTGGTCGTCGACGCGATCCGGAACCTCTGCGTCAAGTACCCGCAAAAGCACCGCATGCTGCTCAACGCCCTCGCCACGTTCCTCCGCGACGAAGGCGGCTTTGAGTTTAAGAAGACCATCACGGACGCGATGCTCGACATCCTCGACGTCCTGCCGGAAGCCAAGGAAGTCGCGCTCCTGCACCTCTGCGAGTTTATCGAAGACTGCGAGTTTACGCTCCTGAGCTGCAAGATTCTGCACGTGCTCGGGCAAAAGGGCCCGACGACGTCGTCGCCGTCGCGCTACATTCGATTCATCTACAACCGCATCATCCTCGAGAACGCCACGATCCGCGCGTCGGCCGTCTCGGCGCTCACGTCCTTTGCGATCCGCGTGCCGGCCCTGGCGCCCAGCATCCGGTCGCTGCTCGCGCGCTGCATGCTCGACGACGACGACGAGGTCCGCGACCGCGCGACCATGTATCTGCACCTCACGACGACCGGCAGCAGCCACTTCATGGACGACGACCTCCCCATGGGCGTGCACCAGCTGCAAAAGTCGCTCGAGCAGTACGCGCTGCGCCCGAGCGCCGGCCGCGTCACGCTCGACGCGCTTCCGTTCGTGCAAGCCGACGCGCCGCGCCCCAGTGCGTCGTCGGCCAAGACGCCGGTGGTCGCCGCCAAGGAAGCGGCCGCGCCCGTGGACCCGGCCAAAGAGCTCTACAAGATCCCTGCGTTTGCCGACCTCGGCCCGCTCTTCCGGTCGTCGAGCCCGATCGAGCTCACGGAAGCCGAGACCGAGTACGTGGTGTCGTGCGTCAAGCACGTCTTCAAGTCGCACCTCGTGCTCGAGTACCAAGTGCTCAACACGGTGCCGGACCAAGTGCTGCGCGACGTGTCGGTCAACTTTGAGCTCATGCTCGAGGATGTGTACGACGTCCACTCGGTCGTGCCGTTGCCGCAGCTGCCGTACGGCGAGAAGGGCTCGTGCTACGTCTGCCTCGCCCACATTGAGGACGCCGAGTACCCGCTCGTCGCGGTGGCCAACGAGCTCAAGTTCCGCGTCATCGAACTGACCAACGGCAAGATCCCGGAGGGGGAGATGGGCTACAACGAAGAGTACCCGATGGAAGACCTCGAGCTCTCGGCGGCCGACTTTATGGCCAAGGTCCAAGTGCCCGACTTTCGGTCGGCCTGGGAGCACATTGGGGACGAGCACGAAGTCCGCGAGCAGTACGCGCTCCGCTTCCAGTCGCTGGTCGAAGGGTACGTTTCCCCCTCTTTATCCTAGTTCTTATCGAAACGACGACTAGTGTCGGCGCTGTCATCGAGTACCTCGGTATGTTTGCCTGCGACAACTCGAGCGTGCCGGCGCCCAAGGCCAAGTCGCACGTGCTCATTCTCTCGGGCGTCTTTGTCGGCGGCGTCAAGGTGCTCGTCAAGTGCCGCCTCAGCCTCGAAGAGGGCGACGGGCAAATGCTACTGCAGATGGGCGTGCGCTCCGAGGACGAGCTCGTCTCGCGCACGGTCGCCGACTGCATTCGGTAAACACAATATTCAATATGCAACCTCTGGTTTCCAAGTATTCCCAAACACCTCAGCGCAGCGTCACGTGCAGATAGAGCGGTTTCTCGGTGAGGAGGTGGATCGCCTTGCGGTGCACGTCGCAGGGCTTGGCGTACAGCTCGAGCACGCGCGGCCCAGGTTCGCGCACCTCGTCCATCTCGAGCATTGCCCAGCACCGCACGCTCTTCTTTCGCTTGGCTTTTTTGTAGTGCAGCAGCTCGAAGAAGACGGCGCCGTTTTCTAAGCCGATAAATAAGATTGTAAGAATGGCACGATGACGTGGCAGCACGTACGGCTTCGGAGCGTCTCCAGCGGCGTCTGGAGCGCAATCGTGTGCTGAAACGCAATGTACGGCGGGTTGAGCGCCGTCGACGCTGGCAACTCGACCTTGGGCTCGAGGTACCCCGCGTCTTCACCTACCCCCGGCATCGCAATATTGTCGCAACTGCGGTGGCGTACTGTAGACCGACACGAGCATCTGCGGGTCGACGTAGCGGGCAGCGTCCTTGAGACCGATCTTCTCAATGTGAATCTCAAGCCGCCCGCCGCCAGTGCTGTCCTTGACAACCGCCTCGGCGCCGCTAAATACGAGAATAGGATGAGCAGGAGGACCCTGGACATGACAGTCGTACCGCAGCGACGGTGGTGTGGCGGCCGGCGCCTTCTCTGGGCTGGGCGGCGGCTCCAAGTCGGCAAGGTCGATCGGAAAGACGCGCGGCGTGGGCTGGAGAGCCGACTCGAGAACTAGTCGCATGCACGATTAATGTAAGATACGACTAAACGACTACCGTCGGCAATTTCGGCCATTTCGTCTTTGGTGGGTCGGTTGCCGTGGGCGTCGAGCGAGCTCAGGCAGTTGACGCGGTGGTTGATGGTCACGACGACCTTCTCGATGAGATCTTGCTGCTCGGGCGACAAGTCCATCTCGGATAGCTCTTCCATGATCCGGATCGACGTCCTAGCCGTCATTGAGATCCCAGCACATCGTCGTCGGCGTACTGCTCGTAGGCTTCGACGGCCTCGAGGACTTGGCCCCAGCCGTCCGCCTGCACCGCCTCGCGCAGCTGCTTGGTCCACTTGCGATGGCGCTTGACGTCTGTCGTCATGACGGCGACGCTTCCGAAAAGATCGCAACTGCTCTGGTCATGGGCTGTTGCCACTCGATATCTTTCATTCGAGTATCAAGTTGATACGATCGCGTCGCACCCAACGAGGAGGCCACAAATAAGAAATGGTATACTCGTACTCCTCTAATAGCAGGGGTAGTCGCGGACGGCGGTCGCGTGCCAGTTGGTCCCTGCGACCTCGGCGGCTGTCATGTTCGAGTGCAAGTGCGCGCGGGCAAAGGCCTGGAGGTTGCGCATGGAGGCTGCGAAAAACTTGGTGTCATCGTGGAACTGCTGCTGCGCCGCCTTGGCCATGCGCTCGCGCTCACCGCCCGTCAAGCTCAGCACGTGGTCGACGGCGTTGCAGAGGTCCTCGGTCGTATAGTCGGCTTGGAGGCCGCCGAAGCCCCCCTTGAGCCCGTGCTCGCCTTCGAAGCCGCCGCCCATGATCTGGTGCGGGTGGTGGTGGACGACCGTGTCCACGTACACGCCACTCTCGGGCGCAACAATGAGCTCGTTCATCGGCGGGCCGTTCGTTGTGATGATGACACCGCCGGCCGCGCGCGCCTGGTTGATGTAGTGGCCATACCCCTCCCACGTACTCGCGCAGAGGAAGAAGGACGTCTCCGCCAAGAGCTTCCCGAACGACACCTCGTCGATCGCGTTGTGCTTGAAGTTAATGTTCTTGGCAAGTGCGATCTTATCGGCGTACTTGTCGCCATAGCCCAAGTCGTACAGCCCCGGGCTCATCGAGAGGTCGAGCGGCGGCAGGTCCGGGCGCGACAGCCAGCACTCGATGACCTGGCCCGTGCCCTTGCTGACGCTGCCGCCCGCCGTGTGCGTGAACCGCACCTTGTTGCGGTAGTCCTTGGGCTTGACGCCGCCGGGGCCGAGCTTGCGCGCAATGTGGCCCGCGATGTCGGCGGTCGTGTGCCGCGTGTAGAAGACGGCGGCGCCGCGCGGGTTGCCCTCCTGCTTGTACCACGTAGTGACGCGGCGGTAGCAGTCGCGCGTCTTGCAGATGACGACGTCGACGCTCCAGTACTCGGGGGCCTTGAGCTGGCCCATCTCAATGTTGGGCATCAAGTAGATGGGCTTGTGTTTCGGCCATGGAAACGGGGTCCAGTAGTGGTTGAAGAAGATGATCGGCGTCCGCGGGCACAGGTCGTGGTACGTCGCCTTGCGGTTGCGCTGCGGGTCAAAGTACTCGTCTTCGAGCGCCCACTGCGGCAGCAGGCGCGACCGGCCGTCTACATACGACATGAACATTCCTCGCATCGAAGCTGTTGGACGTACACTTGGTGTAGGCGCAGCCGTCTTCGCAGTAGCCCGAGCCGCGAAGACCGGGAGGCAGGTAGATGTCAAAGTCGGGGCAGCGACGGAGCTCGTCGAGCACGCGCGGGTCGTCGCGGTTCAAGCGCGTCGGGTACGTGGCCTTGGTGGCATTCGTGCCGTAGTGCCACGTAATGATGTCGTCCGTGCCGCTCGTGCACGCGGCGTGCAGGAGGCTGAGGTGCTCGAGGTCGTTCGTCGGCACGCGCTTCGTATGGGCGTCGTCAAACCAGCACGTCGACGGCTCGTTGACAGGCGGCAGGAAGGGCCCGCCGTCGTCGATTTGCAGGTGCTTGAAGCGCGCCTTGTCCGAGCTGCCAAAGCCAAAGTAGTAGACGTTGACGAAGAAGATGGCGAGGATGCCCACGGGGTAGAGGCCACGCAGGCGCTGCTGCTGCGAGCGCTTCGGATGGTCGCGCATGCTGGCTGCCAAAATACGAATCCATTGAAAGCGTGAAAAGTTGAGGCCGTTTTGAGTTGGAATTGAGCTTGACGTATAGAGTTTCAAGAGGCAAAACGCCTCTGTTTGATTGGTAGAAATACCATCTTATTGCAGGAGACTATGCCATTATTGGCCAATCAACACTGATAATATGAAATAGTATAGTGTATTGATTGTAAGAGGGTACAAGCTCCCGAAGGTCGCTGAAAGGACGTCGCTACATCACGTGTTGGACACGCTGTCCGAGATGACGCGGGGCTTGCTTGTACGTCAAGACAATAAGAACCATTGCTCTGGCCATATCGGCTGGAAGGAGTCTCCAAGAAGCTGTCGCCTCGCTGCACTTGACCACTGCACTTGACGAGGTCCCGTGCTGCACGAAAATTTGCTGCACCCATCTCTTATCAGCACGACCCCACCAAAGACACTGCGTTACCAGCGAGCGAGTGTCCATGGCATCCCTGCACCGGTACTTCCGTGATGCCCATCACAAAACGCTGGTCAAGGCGGCACCGGTTCTTATTGTCGGTTAGAACCGCAGCTATTAACCGTAGGAATGACTCGGTTTGCTGGTGTCAAGCGGGTCAAAAGTCCAAGTCGTCGGCGAGCGGTCCGAGCGGCGCACGGGCCTCGTCGTACACCGGGGCACGCTTGTCCTGCGCGCAGAGCTCGAACGACTTGACTTCCATGGGTTGGAGCGTCACGGTCGTCGGCGACGGGCCCTTGACCGCGTTGGCCGAGAGCGTGAGCTCCTTGACCACGACGTGCCCAGCGCCTGGCACGAGCTGGGCGAGGTCCACGGACGCCGGCTTGGACCATTCCTATAAACACTCGGTCCTACAAAGCTCTCAGTTCTGACGTCATACCGAGTGCTCGTCAATGGCAAAGAGGTGGCTCAGACGCACGAGGCGGCAGTGCGGGTGCGCCCAGTGGAGCGCCGTGAGCCCAATGTTGTCCGGCCACTTGAGGTCGCCCACCACCGACTTCTTCATCTCGGCAAAGCCACCCGAGCCTTCGCGAAGGGCCACGAGGGGCGGGACGTACTGCGCATACGTCGTCGTGCGCAAACGCTCGATCGCCGCCTCGTGCGGCCCGACGCTCACATAGAACTGACCGCGGACCGTGAGACCTTGGACGCGCGGCTGGTTGCTGGTCAGTTGAATCTACATCACGTACAGTACACGCTTCGATCCTCGGCCAGCGTACCGTTTCGGTCTCGTTGAGCGCCTCGTCGACGCCGCGGTGGTCGTCACCAAGCACGCGGCGGTGCACCATCACGTCCAGTTGCCCTACGTACAGCCCATGAGTCCTGAGGTTGAAGCGACAATATGTCTACCATCCTTGAGGCTCGCGCAGCCCTGGGCGCGGTCGGTAAGGACGTTGAGCTGCACCTTGTCGTCGCGGAGGTAGGCGCCGGTCGTGATCGGCACGTAGTTGGCAGCGACGTGCTCCTCGTCGTTGTGCAAAGTGAGGTTCCACGTCTCGCGAAAGTCGCGGATGCGCTCGACGTACTCGAGCCCGTTCGAGTCCGTGTACCAGCGTTTCTACCGTACATTCATAGTCTCCAGTTGGAGTCGACTATAGTAGAAATCGTACGTTGGACGCCACGTTCGAGTCGAAGCGCAGAATCACTTCCTTGCCTTGGTGGTCGTCGATTGGGATCGGACCCACCTAAGAACATGCCATCAACACCCTTGGCAGCAAAGCCGAACGAACCGTCCACTCGACCACAAGCGACGTGTCCCACGGACGGAGCTCGTAGCTGAGGACGCCCATGTTGCCAAAGCGGAACCAGCACGACTGGCGCAGGGGCACGACGTCGCAGCCATGGCTCGACACGGCGGGGAAGGCATGGAGCGTGCTCGTGTTGGGGCGGAAGATGTACGCGCCCGAGTTGACGTCGTTGCCGTTCAAGTACGACTGGTAGTAGCCAAACTTAGTCGACATCGGCACCTCCGTCTTTGTCGCCTTGTCCAGAAGACTCGCAAGACTGCCTTTCGTCAGGTCCAGCGTCGCCTTGATATGGTCGTTCTCGAGCGTCGAGATATCATCGGCCGACGATGAAGTCGTCGAAGCAGACTTGGTCTTGGTCACGCGGTAGCGCTGGAGACTCAGCGGTGCCACGTCCGCCTGCAAAAGCAGCGTGTGCGGCGCGGCCTTGGCGTCCACATGCACGGGCACGTACGGCACGACCGCCGACGGAACGGGCGTGTTGGTCGACGCCAGCGCAACGCTAGCGCTCGGCGTATCGATCGGCAGCGAGACGCCAAACGTATGCGCAAACGGCAGCGGGTTGTACACGACGACCTCGAACGTCTCGGACGCCGACGTCGAATGCTCGCAGAGGCTCACGTTGGCCAAGAGACACGTTGAAAACGGAGAGGCCGACGCGCCGAGGAGGTGGTTGAGCTGCTCATTGGCGGACGTGAGCCCTTCGGCGAGCCGCTGGGCGTAGTCGTTGGAGACGTGCTGCTTCTCCGTGCCGCTGATGCCGTCGTGGTGCTGCACCAAGCCGACGCTCGCCGTCAAGTGCAAGAGCTACCTCGATATGTGACATGTGAGCAAGAAGTGGAGAGAGTACCTTGGACGACGTCGTCGAGTGCACTTCGAGCTGGCGCATCGTCTGGAGGATGCCGTTGGCGACGCGGGCAAAGCGCTTGAGCCCCGGACGACTCGTAAAATAGCCGGTCCTGTGCGCTTGTGAGGATTAGGGTTCAGTGGGCAAGCGCAGTACCAGTAAGCGTACGTCTGGTCGGCGTACGGAAAAAAGTCGTCCGTCTTGGTCGACCACTGGAGCGACTTGTCGGCGAGCTTGAGGTCCGTGTAGTGGCCGATGGTCGAGTAGAAGGCGTTGACGCGGCCGTCCTGGTTGGCGTAGTGGATGAGCTTGTCCATGTTCTTGAACCACTTGAGGCTGTTCTGGTACGAAAAGTCCATGCCCATGGGCCAAAAGATATGGTTGCCTGCATCCATATATCACCATATCCAAGACCCATATCCATACCTTTAGTGTGCTTGGCGCGCTCGAGGCTCTTCTCGACAAAGTACTGGACCTTCTCACACACGTTAAAGTCGTGGAGGTCCGGGTCGTCCTTGATCGGCGCGCAGTCGTCAAAGAAGAACTCGTGCGGCGACCCGTACCCGTCCTGGATCATGCCCGTAAAGACCTTTTCGCCGCGCGACGGCGACGGCTGCCACATGAACTCTACGCATTCGTTGCAGCTTCCGCAGGATCTGCACATATGTATCTACCGAGGTCCTTGTTGGCCTTGCGCTTCTCGTAGTCTTGGTAGTCGATGCGCGCAAAGTAGAGTGCGTCAAAGTTGACGCCGGCCGAGAGGAGCGAGCCCTGCGTCGCCGAGTGGCCAAACGGATCGATCTGCCACCCAATGCGCGGCTTGACGCTACACACGGACTAGGCGACTAGACGTATACCCGGAGAACACGTACCCAAACTCGTGGACTAGAAAGCCGTGGCCGAGCGCGGTTTGGTCGATCATGACCGAGTAGTGGGCCGCCGCTTCGTCGTGCATGACCCAGCCGCCGTTGACCGACAAGTCGAGACGACCTTCTTTCACGAGCTTCTTGACGATCGTCTTCATCTCGTGCGACTGCTCGCGCCACCTAGTAGTTTTCACATCCGACCCTGGGTGCGATTCTTGAAGGACGTACCAGCGCTGGAAGAACGACTGCTCGACGTACATGAAGCGCCGATCTGGGTTCTTGAGCAGCTCCGTGACGACCGTGTCGATGATGTAGTCGACGTTTTGCGAAAAGTACTGGTCGACCGTGTACAGCCAGCCCGGGTCGTCGTGCGTGTGTGGCACGAGGTGCACGTTGAGCTTCTCCGTCAAGACGCCCGCGCTCGTGTTGTAGTGGCCGCCGATCGGGCCCATCGGCTGCCACGTGCCGCAAGAGGGCAGGTGCACTTTGGCGCTGGCCAGGCCCAGCGCGCTCGCGATCGCTGCGATGCGCATCGTCGTCGCAAAGTGCAAAGTGCACTCTAAGATCTGGTTTCTCTCTCTCAAACTCGATACGTTCTGCGGCTTGGTTGGCGTTTCTTACAAACAGCAAGAGATTACCGAAAGATTCGGAGATGACATCCAGTTTGAGAGGTTTTCCCGTCCATTGACACGCATGGCGATCTTTGACTGCGCTGCAACACCTCCTTTCGACAACAACTAGTCCACCGACATTGCACTTCGTATAATGCTATTGAACGACTGAACTATGGTATTGGCGTCACAGCTTAGACGCACGGAACGTCCCGCACCGCCGTGTCTTGCCAGTTGCCGGCCGCGACCTCGGCGGCCGTTCGGTCCGAGCGCAGCTGAGCGCGTGCGAACGCTCGCAGGTCGCGCATGGCGGCTGCAAAATACTTGGTGTCGTCGTGGAACTGCTGCTGCGCCGCCTTGGCCATGCGCTCGCGCTCGCCGCCCGAGAGGCTTAGCACGTGGTCGACGGCGTCGCAGAGATCGCCAGGTTCGTAATCGGCTTGGAGCCCGCCCACGTCGCGGAGCCCGTGCTCGCCTTCGAAGCCGCCGCCCAGAATCTGGTGCGGGTGGTGATGGATGACCGTCTTGACGTACACGCCGCTGACTGGTGCAACGATGAGCTCGTTCATCGGTGGCGCATCGGTCGTGATGATGACGCCGCCGGCCGCGCGCGCCTGGTTGATGTAGTGTCCGTAGCCCTCCCATCGGCTGGCGCAGAGGAAGAAGGACGTCTCGGCGAGCCGCTTACCAAACGTCTCTTCGTTGATCGCGCTGTGTTGAAAGTTGATGTTCTTGGCGGCCGCGATTCTCTCGGCGTACTTGTCGCCATAGCCCATATCGTAGAGACTCTGGCTCATCGAGAGGTCGAGCGGCGGCAGGTCTGGCCGCGACAACCAGCACTGGATCACTTGGTCCGTGCCCTTGCT